TAGCAATAGTGTGTGATCAGGGCTCGAACAGACAAATATACCTAAGAAACGAACAAGAACCCCGTCGCCGTATGTTAATTGCTAATTCGGAGATTGTGCCTCTATACGACGTGCCGCACCTATTAAAAGGAATCAGAAACAATTTATTAAAAAAGAATTTAATATGGATCACACACGAAGGACGGGTTGAGGCGAAATGGGACGACGTTGTAACGGCATACAAGATTGATTTATCCAGTGGACGCCTTAGACGTCTACCACGAATAACGGAGGGCCACGTTATTCCGGATAAAATAAATAAAATGAAAGTTATACACGCGGCACGTATATTGAGTTATTCAATGGCCCTGGCCATTACTTATATGGCTCAACATAGTAAGTATGAAGATTGTTAATAATGCAATTTAAAATTTTACATATAAGGTTGTACTAATACAATTGTACAATTTTTTCTAGACGAATCGGACAGTAGCGGATTATACACAATGAGGACAACAGCTTTCGGGACGGGGGAGATTATTAACTTCTTCGACGAATTGTTTGACAGCATCAATGGAAATACTTTAAGGGATCCAAGAGGTAAGGTTTTGCGAGGAGGAGTTACAAAAATTTATCCTCACCTTTCTTCTTGGGTACAATCTGTACGCGCCTTGAAGAACATGTTTTTTTAAGAGGAAGGTACGGAACAACGACCTGTTCCTCCCTCTTTAAAAAATTTTATTCATACAGTAGAAGGGTTTATTTGTATTCGAGATATCTTATTTAATGCTAATTTTAATTATTTTTTTCCGCGATCTTTTAATCAGGATTCATTAGAAAATTTTTTCGGGCAAATTGGACAACACCGAGTTCACGCGAATATTCTAAGTTCGAGACAATTTGAGGAATCGTATAGAGCATTGTTAATTCGTCACTTTGCGTACAGTTCAAATTCCATCGCGTCTAATTGTAAAGACACCTTCGAGTCGTCGTTAGTACAGTTTAAAAATTTGTTCAATGTAGAGTCACCGC